TTATCCACTGTTCCCGTGTCCACGAAAAAGGGTTATGGCGCCAATGTAATTGATATTTTGTTGTTTTTTTAACTGATAAACGCGCCAAGACGCGCAGCAAAAACATTTTGCGTTTTTGCATGCTCCGTTTAAGATGATCACCGTGACCTGAAACAAAAAGCTAACTTATTTGCAAAGGCTAGACAGTGGGCAGCACGCTCCATTTCTCATTTTGAGCTGGCAAGTAAATACTTGACACTTCACAAGGCATGTAGGTGGTGATGATACGAATCTTGAGGTGTTGCTTTGCATCTAATTATTCATTTGGAGCAAGTTGACAGGAATTCGAGGGGCACACCCATGACGCTACTATTTACCTAGCTCAATCGGTACAAATACAAAAGGACATACCAGCATCAATGTTATTTGAAAGGTCAGCAGCGAGTTGCAGCCAAATGTCATCCCAGTCTCGCCAGGTGACGCGTACCGGGTGTTTTATCATGCGGGAGCCCTCCAATGTGACACGGCAGGCGGCTGAGGCAAGTGGCATCGCCGCGGACTTAATGCCTTTATTTATCCTTCGATCTACAATGAGACAAAGGAAAACGCCAGTCATGTTGTGCGTTGTGGTCAGGAATATCACTTTTGCACACAATCTTCAACGCGATCGCGTCTGGTTCGCCGCCTCTCAGCGCCCTGTGTGCGAGGTAGATGAGAGTGTTCCACAATTACATTTGGTTTTATACTGAAATAGCCATATCGAATGCCATTCGGTGGAGGTCACAGCCCTGTCCTTTCTAAGATACCCCTACCCCTACACCCCTCAAGTGTCTGATGCTTACTTCAATACCTTCAAATGTGAAACATTCCATTTAACGGTGCTGATTGTCACCAGCGCCAGCCTACGTTGTGACGCAGTCGGTCGGCCTAGGTTCTCTGGGGAGCCAGTGACAAAATCATTGATGAATGTTTAGGCTACACATAACATTATCAGGGAGCCTGGCAATTTTTTGAAACCTATTCACGTTTTTTCTGCTTTCGTTTAGCACACAGAAAAGCAATGTCTGATCCCGTAGCGATGATCGATTACGTCATAAGAATTGTAAGATCTCACCAGGCAGAATGGAGAAAATAGATGTCGGTGCCCGAGGGGATGCGGCTGGAGACGGCCACAACGCGGCTTACGTCAAACGATTGAGGCGGAAACCATGCTGTGTTAGGATAATAACTGGTGGTGCACATAGGTAGCTTGAAATCTGTCAGGGGATGGTCTGGGGTATTACGACATTTATGACATAAATATTGCAGGATAAATGGATGCAGATCAGGAGCTGAAGGATCTGGATGGTTTAAGGTAGCAATCTCAGTGTTTGTGCGAATTAAATTAAGGTAGCATGGCATTCTGCAAATCTCTGACCTTTCTCGGCGGTAGTAAAAGAACTAAGGGTTCGAAAATGTTGTACATATGCCAACATTTCATCTATCTCTATATATTTACCTGCACACACACACACACACACACACACACACACACACACACACACACACACACACACACACACACACACACACACACACACACACACACACACACACACACACACACACACACACACACACACACACGCATACGCATATGCACGCGCATACGCATACGCACACACATACACATACACAGGTGCAACATGCCTACACATGCCACTACACAGTTTCAGTGGCACCCAGTTCACATGCGCAGGGCGACGTTCATCTAGTACGCCTTCTGAACAACTAAAACGTCCATCTCAACTCCTCATATGATACTTCAGGTGTGTATCCATTCGCGTACACACCATTGTGCAATCCATTTGTCAAACGAAACAACCTTAATTGCGACCATTATTTCCTGCTAGATTACATGCTGTGCTAGCATATTGCTCGATTGGTCACTGCATACGGTACCTGCTCTCTTCATTCAGGGGAATGAAAAACTTGCACCACTTTCGGATCCTATCTTAAATGTCAAATGCTACCAAATGTCCCTTTTTGCACATATCGTAAAAATACTGAAGTTACTTCTAGTAGTAATCATCATCAACTGGGCATTACACAGCTACATGAAGCCCCTTTCCCCTGGTCAAAAAACATTTCTTCCATGTATTTTGACAACAACTTGCAATTTTGTGTCTGTTGTTTTGTTTTCAACGCGCTAATAGAGTTAAAATAACTATTTTGTTAGATGGCACAAGGTTTCAGTCAAAGTGCGTAACATTTATTGTGCGCTGTGAGTGCCTTAGACACGAATACAGAATTGCCCCATATTCACAAATTGTGTTGCGAGAGTTAGTTGCAAACTTGTCACACATCATACGACATCTGCCGTGACCGCTTGCGCTTTAACACCTCATATACATACTTCCCAGTTGTCATAGACTCTGGCTATCGCACAAGCTAGTCCCAATCTTAGCAAATCTTAATTTGAGGTATGAATGGACGATCTTCACCTAATGTATAAATGAATGGGTGGCATGTTCACCCACGTCGATTCCCTGGCACTATGTAAAGCCTGTTAAACCTTTTAAATGACTACAGGAGAATCATAGGTACGCAAAAACATTGGCAGCGCTCAATTTGTGCATGCGATATGCAACTGGGAGTAGAACAGGTAGGACACAAATCAGCAAATACCAACCCAAAAACTTTTTCTGGATTCAAAGAGTACTGAACTAAATTTCGGCGAGAAAGTTAGCCTTGGTTCGTGGTTGCGTAGGACACCATGCCCATTCCTTGAGATGCATTTATCGGGAGGGTAGTGGGTAAACAAATAATTGTGAAGATGCAGCACTCTGTTCTGGCAATCACCTGGACATGGATCGGCTCAAGCATCATACTTAAGTCGGAGCTAATGTGTAACTTAAAATTTGGCTGGCACTATACAAAACGAAAACTATAATTTGCCACATTTTTAACTTTTTTGGACAGGATGCTTGTATTTCAAAACTCTGCGGTATGCTTTCTGTTCACAAAACATGCTCCTGCCCTGTGTTGCAACTTTGAAATGCAGTGTCACCCACAAAGGTTGGATTATGTTGCTGACAAGATTAGGAGAAATGGTAGACATGCTGCGAAAAGATAGGTGCTTTATCCTTAGATAATTCAATTACCGTGGAAGGAAGGGAGGCTCTTGTTTTCCATAGCAGCATATGTGAGTGCGACTCATTCATATCAACTTGTCTTTGAACGTGGCACGTCGGTCGAGTGTAGGTGAAGACGTTACCTGGAAGAGGCGACGCTATGCGGTAATTAATTAAAAGCTAAGACGACAGACCAGCCCGAACACTCAGGGAACTCTATTGGATGCATCCATGCTACTTACACCACGACATCGGACACGGGTGTCCCTAGGCCACGCGTGAAACGCTCCTGTAATCACGGATGAAGTGATGTGAGGATGTGTCACAGATCTTCGACTTGTAGTGGCTAACAACATGACGGACATTATCTGATGTCATATCCAAAATCGATCCAGTTTGAAGAGTAGGACCGAAGGTAAGTTGCGTAAGACCGTACATAGACGCGGGCTTAGTCAGCTTCCAATTCACGGGCGGCGAACGATCGGCCAGCAGGCTACAAATCAAGTCGCCCCAGATTAGCAAAGCGCTGCTAGAGTGGTGGTAAACACATTTCGCAACCGAGTTCCAGATCGTAAAAGTTAGCATCACGGGCGGCAACCGCCAGCCCGGTGACCTCGGTGGTGCGAGAGCCAACTATCAGTGGCCATCGCTAACGTCGCACGACATGGATTCAAGCTGTTTGGATGACACGCCCGCCTGGTCTTGGATGTCACGGAGACTTGGGGACGTCCTTTCTCAGGATTGCCAGCCCGCTGACTCACTGACGGCCTGAACTGTCCGCCTGGTCTGGTAATAAGGTACGAAGAGAAGGTGGCTCAGGGCAGACCGCACCAGCCGGCACTTTCCAGTCCGTACAGCACCGTCGCGCCCAGGCCGCTGCGGTGAACTGCAGCACTGAGCTCGAGCAGTTTAGGCTTCGCAGACTACATGTTCGGCACACGGAATCGCGACCGGGCTAGCGTTGCCGCGACGCGATTTTGGGGCGTGCCAGGGGATTGTCCAAATCGTGCCAGGTAGGTCCAGTCCCCTGCTAGATAGGGGCGACAAGTGTTACGTACCGCGTTAAAACAGCGCAAACTTCAACAATTTCAAAGGTAAACACGTCACGATCGTTTGCTTGGGTTCGTAAACCGTGAGCTGACTTCTCACAAGACATCAGCAAGCGCTGCAGCTCCGCAAAACGCTGCAGCTCCACAAAACTCACTGCAGCTCCACTGACAGTGCCTAAACATCCGCGAGAAGCTCGTGCGTGAGGTCCCAGTTAACGCTGCGGTTTAGCGCAGTCATTGCTGGGTCCGGCGTGCTGCCCAGGCTAGCGTTAGCTGTGGCTGAACTCAGTGGGCATCTGAGTCTCGGGCGAGACGGCACATGTCATGTAGTTTGCATATGCATGTGGCGCTCTTGTTCCGTTCTTCCATGTGCTTTAACTGGTGTTGTACTGAATTCAGAAGTCATCTGAGGTGGACGCAGGGGCAGGCGCCATTACTGCCAAAGGCCACGAAAGGCTCAGGAAGCAGTCAAGTATCTCAGTAAGCATTTAAGCACCCCGGTAAGCAGTAAAGCAGTAAGCCGTAAAGTAAGCAGTAAAACAGTTACAGTTTCAGTAAGCAGTAAAGCAGTTACAGCGAGCACACCACACGGGCCAAACGAAGCGCCTGCCCGTAAACTCCCCTAACCACAGCCTCATCGCGTGCCGGTCGCCATTTGGCGCGGCCCGGGGCGTCCTGTTTGCCACCTGGTCCCGGCGGCATCGCGGGCCCCTATTTCGTCTGCCGCCGGTCGACCCGCCGCTGCGGCGGCGCGCGTCGGCGCCGACAAACCGCCCGAGGCGCCGCGTCGGCATCGGCACAGTGCCTGCGGCGCGGGCGGCAGCGACGGCTGCGGCGCAGCTAAAAATACAGCCGCGGGCGGTGTATCGGACAGCGGCACAGGGACTCTGCCCGGCCAAGCGGGACAGGGGTCGCCGTTGGCCGCGGCCGCGGACAGGGGACCGGTCGGAGAGAGGCCCGGTGGGTGGCCAGAGCCGGACGGGAGACAAGGCGGGGTGAGCGAGTGGACCGGACTACCAGGTGAGATGTCAGGAGGAGCGGACGTTGAATACGACGCAGGCATCGCATCTGTGTACGACACCACGATACTGCATCGCACGTGCGCTCCGTTGCACGCATAGCGAGATGGCGTCCCGTGCTGGTCTCGATGACTGGTGTATGTGACAAATAGACGAAGTCAGCTTTCATGGACACCGTCACTTATGAATCAGACGTTTTGCAGCGTGATCGAATCTAGTTAATGTCGGTCGATACGTTGAAACAAAGCGAATCTACGGCCGTAGGCTCGCCCCCTTCAACATCTTAAAACCGTGCCCATAGAAATTGAAACAAAGTGGAAACAAACTAAAGATGAACACGCTGTAGTCCCCGAGTAGAACAGGCAACCTCTGGCAAGCATGCCAAACGTCTACTGAGAAATCCGGGTATAGCTGTTACCTCGAACACGTGGTAAACATGGATGTTTTAAGTTATTTTCCTTGGTTCCCATCGACTTCAGGGGAGAAGCTTTGAACCTCAAAGGTCTTGAATATTGAGGACAAAAATACCCACGTCTTTCGCCTCTCAATAAATTTTGGAACTTCGGTCTTACTTGTTTCATTCAGCTTTATCCGGTTCAGTCTTCTGAATGATTATATGCTGACTCGTGGCTTGGTTGATATATTCTTCATGCCACCCTAGTTGGTGTGCGCATGAAATGATACACGGTGTCAACCTGTGCACTGTTGTGTGTATTTTATTTATTTAGTTATTTTTATTCTATTTCTTGCTGAGCGTAACCCGCTAATTCCGAAGAATATAGAATTCACTGTAGGTAGCCCAATGCCATTCTTGGCCCAAAAAAGCCATGAAAGTATCGACCTGACGCTGCTACCCAATAAAGCACCGTGAAAATAAGCAGATAGCGGCCGCCTGCCAGCCGGGCAGTTGGCAGTGGGATTCTGTGTCAATGAACACGTTGACGGGTATTGTTTTTGAGCGCGCGCCGAGACGTGACCGCTGGCGCATGGTCAACAATTTCGGATCGACACGTGGGCCAGCCGCAACCGTGCTGGGAGAGCACACCGCTGACTCAGCCCGAGCCCATGTCCGGGAGCGTCCTTCAGGATTAGAGCCCCAGTGACACTGATGTCCATTTCACGAGGGATTTGGTGCAGTGTCATCTGCTTGGTGCAGTATCATCCCATGAGTGATACCGCACCAGACAGATGGCATTTTGAGTTCGAGTTATGCGATAATGCTGTTCAATAAGTGCGCCGAGAATATTAATGTTAGGCGATAATGCCGACAATAATGCTACTAGACCTCAGCGCGAATGTAAAAAATTGAAGCTCAAAGCATTTCTTTCTTATGTCAAATACACCACAGTGCCATCTGGATCACGTTTTTTCTAAGCGCGGTTGGTTCCACCTCGTCAGATATTTAGGGTCATTTTACCCAAAACGGTGTGTCACGCCCTGTCAACAGCAAACGTAGCTTGACGCTCGTGTCATTTGGCAACACTCTGTCATTAAGTACCTGCCATGGTCGGTACCGTAGTCGACGTGTAAGGCTTTTGTAATGTATCTAGGTGTCCAAGCCATTACTCGGACCAGGCGCGCTCACAGGATCTTTGTGGGAGCGGCTCTAGCTCGAGCGACGGAGGGCGGCGCACCCCAGATGCCAAGACGGGTGGGATCGTGAGACGACAGCCAGTGGGCTCCATTCATTAATCGATTACAAAATCAACTCTTGCTACACGCTCGCGGATCGCGGCTTTTCGCCCAATGACCATGCCAAAAGAGCGTCACGTATCGAGGCGATGCATCGGGGTGACTATAAAAGCAGCAAATCGAAACTCAGGCTAGCTGACAGGGGGTGGTCTCCGGCTGTCACCAGCCCATGAGGGCTATTCTGCATGAGTGGTAAACAGGGCGTTGTTCGACATACCGGAACAAGTGCATTGATCGTTTGTACAATGCACTGCCAAACTGCGGTATCCGTTCCTTGAACACATTCCACCAAAAAGACGGCCGGTTTATTTCAGACCACTGCCGTAATGTTGCATGCTGCCCAGGCTTCCATGCCGACTCGACGACTGCCGCCGACTTCCCTGCCGACGAAATGACTCGATTCTGCTATTCTGAAGCACTGGTTGTGCCCAGGCCAACGGGAAATTCTCAGTCAATGAAAGGCATTGATGAGGTCAAACAATTAACGGCGTGATACAAACTTAACTCAGCCGATAAACACATTTCATGGGCTCTTGTGATTTACACATATTTGAAGCCGTGATTGGTAAGGTACCACACAGCTATTTGGAGCCCATAAGCCGTTTTAACCGCATTACCGCTTATATCAATTATATAGGGTAAACAACAGCCGTGTAGACGATGATTGGAATCGCTATGCATGCATTTGAAATTCAGTGCACAGAGTGCTGCAGTTGTTAGTTTCCACCCCGTCAGCCTCTACATTACCATTCCCGCATTTTACAGTCGCACCCATCATTTGATCGCTTTGAAATTCACGTTCCTGTTATTTACGTTTCCAGTTATAAACCTTAAGAAATGTGTTGAACTTACTGCTTCACAAGTTTTCTTTTAATTACGTCTTTATCATGTCTTTATTGTTCTCATCACGAGTGAGCTGACCGGGAAAACCACCATTAACACGCGCTCGGGTAGGGGTCAAATTGACGCCCCCAAGGTTTTTCAAAAACGGTTTCCGAACGGCGCGGCGCAGCCATGCTACATTCTACATAGATGTAGACAATTAAATAGTAGATCGTTTGGCATTAAATATTTAGATTTACCTTGTAAGGTCCCTGACCTGCTGTAGATCAAAGTCAAGCCGTGCAATCCGCGAAGTCAGTTTCTAGGGAATCCTTCAATCTTATGCAACAACGGGGTGTTAGAGGAGACCATATATCTCTGGGATACTTTCTTAGGTAACGCAAATATTGAATGCACAAATTACATTGACTTAAGGTCAGTTTTGAAGGTGGGACCAAGGTCAATGCCGATCTGTTTTATCATTCTAAGGCTTGCTGTATGGAGTTGTTCCTGGTGCTCATTTCAAATTCATTGACAACAGGAATCGCGTTATGCAATTTCCATGAACTTATCAAAGGTCAGAATAGGTCACTGACCTAAGATGACCCAGGTCAACATTTTTTTTCAGGAATATACTGCCTAGCGTACTGCCTTTGTCGGTTGTTCAAATGGAAAACTAAAAGCAGTCTTGTATGATTTTGGTCATGACGACCTTTGAAGGGTCAAAAAGGTTACTGATCTTAAATGATAATGTGACCTTTGCTTAGAACAGGTATATAGCTTCTAGGGGCAGTTTGGAGACCAACCTGGAGATCGACCTTGTTTGACCTTGTTTGACCCGAGATCATGACCCGGGAACCTCAAACTCTGACATGAGTGAGATCAGGTATTGGCCAACGCACCCTGTAAATTTGGTGTCTCGAGCTCTCTTAGTTCATAAGATCTCAGGGGGTCAAATTGACCCCCCAACCCGAGCGAAGGGTATTCAAACCGGCCACCCGGGCGCGTGTTAATGATGTTCCATAATCCTTGTGCGATCTGAGTGTAAGGACATGTATTGCATGGCTCGGAGTGGCGGATTGCAGCTCTAGTAGGCATTAAACTAAGGTCGTTCCATAATTTAAGGAGGACCTTTATTTTTTTTTAAAACTCAGACAAGCGTACAGCAGGGAATGCATCTTAGCGCTCAACATCTTAACCACTAAGCCGTACACCGTCACCAAGCCTTTCCTGTTATGTACTGCGCGCCGCTCCGAGCTTTTCTCTATCAGTACCGCCGAGGATGCTGCTCACATGTTCCAGTCCCCCGGCGCTGAGGCAGGGGTTTTCACGCAGTATTTTCTTGAGTTTCTGGAAGAGGAAAAAGTCAGCAATGACCAGATCAGGTGAATAGGTGATTGGGTCCTTGCTTCTGAAGAATCCACAACTTTTAAAAACATTGCCGTCTCGTTCGACGTGTGAGGTCGAGCGTTGTGATAGGCTTGAGTTTGTGGTCTCGTTTGGACAGTGTTTTTTTGGTTACGGTCTGCATCATCCTCTTCAGTAACGAGACTTACCTCACGTAGTCAATCGTCTCATCCCTGGATGGGAGGCCGATGATGACGGCGCTGTCATTGTCAAAGAAAACCGTACACACAACCTTCACATTCGTTCGCCGTAGGCTAGGCTGAGTTGGGGTTCCTTCGCCAGCTTTATTTCACTCCTTGCTCTGGCTTTTGTTCAGCGGGTCGTAGAACCTGACATTGGCTGGAGTCCCATAAGAAGGGACTATTATATCCAGGAATCGTTCGCGGCCAAACTCGCACTGACCGAGCAACTGCTGCGCAGCCTGCGCGCGTGCATTCGTCTACTCCTGCGTGGGCCAGAACCACTCCATCGACAGCACACCATTGAGTATCGGAGTTGTTATACCGCCCGTCCTGCTGTAGCTTGTTGGTGCTGACTCGATTGCTGGTGTTTTGAAGGCTCTGCACCGCCGGTCTTCGAGATCGTGACCTCCGTTGGGCGCCCAACGTCAGCCATGCGTGCGCGCCCTGGCGCCCTCTACGGGGTTTGCCCGAGGTCCTGCTTTGCCCGTTCTTAAACCGGCTCATCCAGCGGCATATGGTCTGCAAAGACTTGGCACTGTGTCCGAAGACTTTTTTCAAAAACTGCTGCAATTTAACACGCTCTACCCCAGACACAAAATGAGTGCAAATGACCCCGTACTTAGCTGCCAAGCCGTCTGCGGTTTGAACGGCAATTGGTCTGTTAATATTTTACGCTAACGTTTCGGGTGCGATGAATTGTGTTGTTAGGAGACAGTTAGCTCTGAACACACTGCGGCACCTTCGAAAATTTGACGTGCTTACAGAAACAAAAGCCCACGCAAAGTCCACGGCACCAATGGCCATGATACAGACAAGAGACCATACAAAATGATGCGACTCCAGCGTATGTTCACCACGCTTGCACATGAGCTTAATAACCCGGACCCGTGCGATTTTGAAAACGGTTAAATTGAAGGCATGATGCTAGAAGCTATATCACCCAAATAAATCACTCCTGCCATCACCCACAGTTGTGGCACTGGACGTTTGCCAATGCACCAATCAATATCTACTTCCGCGACCGAGAACGGAAATCCTCGCGAACGTCGCGTGTCTGTCCACCACCGATACCAGCAAAGCCGGCTGGCAGCAGCATGGATCCACGGCACACTTCCCGTACTAACCGTGAGGTACACTTGTAAAATGCATGGTCTTTTGAAAGTTGCAGAACCCATTCTCTGTGACGGGTTCGACGTAAGTAAAGCCATAAGCAAGCGTGCTTCACTGGCTGTCAGCAACACACCGTTTTTTCTCCAGCCCAGCAGATTACATATATTTTACCAGGCTAGATATAATTTCTTTGCAGGGTATGCCGCGGATTGTTTTACTTCCGGGCTTACTTAGTCTTGATAGTACAGCTGCCAGTGAACGGCGCCGCTGTCGTGCCCTCTCCCATACCGAACGTTTCTAACAGGGTTACGTGTGCTACTACCCATATTTTGCTTAGCATATGGATAAATTATATCAGTATATAGCTTGGTAATATTGCTATATAGATTGCTCGCACAACGGTTAGATTGCTGTTGTCGGCATAATGGTGTCTTCACCCTCTTGGCAGTTCTCAGCAAACATTCTATACGTTACACCCACCTTTCCCACATGTATGTTAGTTTTTGGAATATCAGCGGCACGTCGCCTCCAATTGCCGGGCAAGATGCCTTATGCGGAAAATCGTTGGTCATCTCGGAAGAGAGCTCGAATGCGTAGTCCCAGTAACGAAAAAGCTCGCAAAACAAAATGCAGGGCCTGTCTCAAACGATTCTGAATCATGTGATCAGTGAATCAGTCAATCAATCAATGGATGATCGACCAATGAATGAATCAATCACAACGATCTAGGAGCATTTGGAATGCTAGCATGGCTGAGGTTTGCTCAGCTTATGATGGCAACGGCCATTTACGTGCAAGTGAGTGAAACAGCATGGAGAGCGTTTTTAAAAAAAAGAGAACGCGTCGCCCTCAGTAAGATACGTAACTACATGCATACTCGAATACGTATTCTGAAGAGAAATGGTGGGATATTTTGTGGTCACACTTAACGCAGCCATGAGGACTTAGATTGGGTCTTTCCCTCCCGCCCAGTGTGGCGCCATTTCGTTGCGTGAGGAACGACAAAGTATAGGGAAGGTCTAAAGAACAGGAATAAGAAGTTCTTGAAAATGTTGGACTTCGGTACAGTGGACAAATTTCAAAAGAAAAAGTTGTTTACAAAATGTTGTTTGACTGATCAGGGATTGAAAGCTTTAGGGCGCGCCAATGGCTCGTAAAAACAGCTCATAAGCCTATCACTGCCGTTCAAAACAGGTTTCTCAAAAACATTTCGTGTAGTACTCTTATTTAAACCCATATGCTTGCGTTTACGTTTGCGAGATTAGCTGGGCGAAGCGGGCATCCGCCTAGACGAAACAACCAACAAACGTTTGATGAGCTGGCCTCGTGGCGTCGCACAATCCTGCTTGAGTTCGACCTTCATCAGGTTAAAAATGTAGCACACCCGGAGGGGGGGTTTGCCCGCACAGCAGCAGAACGGGTTCCGCTTCACCGAATCTCAGTAAATATATTTTCTGACGGCTCGAAAGGCTCCGCTGGCACTGGCTGTGCCTTCGTTTGCGGAGACTTGGGGCAATCCTTCTGCCTGCCACGGCACCTATCCGTTTTGTCCACTGAAGTTTTCGACATCCTAACGGCCTTATAATATATCCAATGTCGTACGGAACGTGACTCTCCGATGCTAACTAGCTCGCTTAGTGCCCATTTGTCACTTGACGTAACCTTACTATCTCTCAATCACGCGTATCTCGCACGATATAATTGGGATGAACGTAACAAATAACGCTACCAAAGCGTTAAAGTCACTTTCATATGGACTCTTAGCCACGTTGGAATTGTAAAAACGAAAGAGAAGCTGCCGCAGCGGGAGGGAACACATGCCGAGAGCGCACCCTTTCCTTCAACCTGCCGTTGTGTGACTCGAAGCTGACAGTTGCCAGATATACCATGACAGATGGCAAAATGATTTTGACAAAATAAATCACGCATTCAGGCCCCTTGAACCCCTGATTTGCAAGTGGGAGTCGTGCAATCAGAAGCTTTGGGGAGGTTACTCTTGTGAGCTACGCCCCAGGCACACCTACGCTAGCGCACTCGTTTTACCTATTGGACCCAGGATACGCCACAGTGCGAGGGTGTGGCGTGCGTCTGATCGTTGAACATGTCTTGACCTCGTGTCGTCCCCCTGCCAGCGGTCGTCTGCACTACTTTGTTTTAGCGCCCCTCGCCCGGCTGGTTGGTAGCGACCCAGGTTGTGGCGTCGTCGACACACTCGCTTGCGCAGTCCGCATTGACTTCAAATATTATTTATAACCGTCCAGCCGTATGGGTATTCAGATGAAGTGCGGAGTAATATATAGGTGACACAGTTCTGATCGAGTGGCATGTAGTAGGCATTTTTCGAGAGGGCACGAAATGGCTACGTGATCCACGGGCCCATAAACCCTAAATGTCTTCATCATCAGATGTATACGTGCATGTCTGGAAGTTGACACAACCGCATACCGAGACAGTGATCTTTCAACTGTTTTGAGCACAGGACACTATTTGTTTCATGTTGATGCAATTTAAGTAATTAGAGTGTAAATTGAGTGTTTCTGAAGACACTGTTATCAGGTGTTAATTCCATAAATAAATAATATATCGTATATATATATATAATATTTAATATAAAAATATAGATAAATATATAATATATAATATAGTATACATATATATATATATATAATATACGTAACAATATAGTATATATATAAAATGAAAATATAATAGATCAAAATAAATTTCCATGAAATGATTCATTGACATACATATTGGTAACACAGCGCATGGGTAAAAACTTTCACTTTTAAAAGGCCCGTGCCCGCATGAACATGTGTGTGATAAAAAACGCAAATCTTGAGCGCGACTGACTTTCTTAGCGTCGCATATGTGTTCAATTTCTGTAACTAGACTGTCGCACTGATGTATCTTTATTTTCACAGGCTGGTGCTGATCGGGGCACGCTGCTGCCGTCGGCAATTGTAGCCAGCAGACAATGCCCCTAAATTTAGCCGACTTGCAACTCATCTGCACTCTCCTGCTTCTTGGTAAGTGCTATGGTGGTACGCCATTTACAATGGCTGTCGGAGCCACGTCACCTGCCTTTGATAAGGGAATGCATGGAGAGGCGCAAATAACCTCCGCCGTTAACGTGCCTTAAACACGCGCTGGGATGGGGTCAAATTAATCCCCTTGAGGGTTTTCCAAAATGGTTTCCGAACGGCGCGGCGCAGCCGCGCCAACTTCTGCATAGTTGTAGACTATTAAATATCGGATCGTGTGGTACAAAAAATGAAACGTACCTTGCAAGGTCGCTGACCTACGGCAGGGCAAATTCAGGTCATGGATTCGGCCAAGTCAATTTCTAGAGAATCGTCCATCTGATGGAACAACGAATTGTTAGACGAAGCCATACATGTCGGAGGTACTTTCTTTAGCAACAAAACACTTAGGTGAGCAAATTCCATTCACCTGGGATGAGACATAAAGGTTAGACTAAGGTCAAAACCAGCTTGTTTTATTACTCTAAGAATTGCCGTACGGGGTAGCTTCTTGGGCCTATTTCGAATTAATTGATAGCAAGAACCGCATAAGACGTCTTCCGTGCGCTTCTTAAAGGCTATAATTGGTCACTGACCTAAAATGACCCAGGTCAAGATTTTACTTTAGGAACGTACTGCCTAACGTTATATTTGTCGCTTATTCAAATGTAAAACTCAAAGCAGTCTTGCATGATTTTAGTTGCCATGAACTTTGAAATGTCGAAAAAGGTCACTGACCTTAAATGAGCATGTAATATTTTGCTTAGAGCAGCTATCTAGTATCTGAGGACACTTTAGAGACCAACTTAGAGTTTTCCCTTGGTTGACCTTATTTGACCCGAAGATCGTTACCTAGAACCTTTAAAATTTGACGTGAGGGAGTTCACGTGCACGCCAACACACTCCGTAAACTTGGTGTATCAAACTGTCTTAGTTCCTGAGATCACAATGGGTCAAATTGACACCCAATCCGAGCGAAGGGTTTCCAACCGGCCACCCCGGCGCGTGTTAAACCCAATTACTACTGCTGCCAGAGCAATGGTTGTGGCTGTGCGTATCAAACAAAATACAAACAGCACGTGTAAATAGTCATTGGCTGCTTGGGACTCATTATCAGACCAAACCGGCTACAGCGTGTGGCAGCGCAATTTCAGCTCATCAGCGCCACGTAAGTAGCGGCGGGAAATAACGCGTGGCGGGTTTGCCACCTTTTCCCATAAGAATTGGTGGAAATAAAGAAATGAGCCCTCTACCATCTGATAAACCCAATACAGTCGTAACAATGGTGTCGGGACTGAAAGGTGCTACGTCTGCTATGTTTCAGTTTGTTTGCACGCAGCCAGCATGCAGTGCTGGGTGAAGAGAAACTAGTGTTTAGTGAGCTGTCGAGATTGGCTTGTTGAGAGGGAAGTATGACCCACACAGGTCTAGACGTGATTTTCGTTTTGTGATTGTTCTTCGTACCAAATCATGCCGGGGTAGTAGTATCTCAACTGTATTCGCGAGCTCCCATCCGTACGCATATTTTCAAAGCGGAGATTCGTATAGTTTTGGCGCACTCTCTAGCCTTTTGGAGCATAGTCGAAAAACCCGACGTTTTAGAGCAAAAGTGTACGAGAGTGCAGATTCACACTAAAATAGTGACCAATTAACAGCAAATGGGAAACGTACGATGCAGCTGACAGAGCTATACGAGAACAATGCTGATGAAAACCCGTCGCCATGCAAACCAGGTGTGCCAAACGTACATTTTTATGATTGTCATTACAAGTACGGGTTGTAAATTACTGAGGGGCAAACAGGATGCATCGAAAATATGGTCTTGGTCTTTGGGGAAGCAGTGGGTACAATGCGACACCCTGACACCACGTTCTCATTACTTGGATTCCAAGAGCATTATCACACTTAATTGAGTGATGCTTTACAGTTCTTAAAGTACCCTCACCTGTGAAATTTTTTTACGCTGCCTTTAAAGGGATATGATGTGATAATTCGAGTGACTAACTGCAAAATACGTGATCTTTACGACCCAGACCACGCCCACCAGATCGGTGTTACCAACACTGGTCAAATAGCATTGACTGGTGTATAACCGTAGGCCTTCCACAAATGCTGAACCTTATCTCACAACATGAACAATTCTGCAGTACACTCAAAATCGTATCAAAACTGTGTTTTGAATACTTTTAGAAACATCGCACAAAGAAACAGAAGCTAAAAAATGTACGAGTTAGTCATGTAATGAAAAGGGTGCAAATGACCATCAGGTTTATGATTACATACAAAAAGGGCTGATCGCTATTCATTTGAAGCCAATGTCATTTTCACAAAGAGCTCCTTTCAAGGCTAGCATTAAAGGGAGTGTTCCACATTTGCATGGGCTTTTGAGATGAAATAGCCATCTTGAAGACCTTTTGGCGTGGTTCAATATCCTGCCGTTCTTAAAACCTACGCCTCTCTAGTTTCAAAGCTACAAGCCCGCGGAAATAAGGAAAGGTATGTCGGGAAGAGTATTTTAAAGTCACCTCAGCCTTTATAGAGTCATAATAGCGCCCTTCAAATCTTGCCATTCTATAAGCCATGCGGCGATCAAGGCCAAGCAAAATATTACTGTCGAGGTGTTCATATCTGACGTTCGTAAGTGTGATTTCCAAGTATAACGGCCGTCAATTGGCTCTCAGCCAATGTTTTGCAAAGTACGATGACGTAATCAAACCATGGCACATTGAGGAGCATATTTACCAAACAAAGAATGGTACTGTCTAGACCAGTCTTTTCCACTTAAATACATAACAATAGGCATAAGTGAGCTTGTGTCATCATATCTGATGTTTGCTTCAAGATCTTAAAATAGGAAACATTCCCCTTAACCTAACTCTTGTTCTAGCCCTAATCCCAGCAGAATATAATGAAAGTATAATGGAAGTCTGTGCGCTCAAATAGCTGAGCAGATATTTCATATAAAACAAACTTTATGGCAAATGCTAACCAGCAGACCAGCGACATCACAGCCGTTTCAGAGTGGGGGAGATAAGGGAATTATTCTTTCTGTTCTTCAGTAGTAATATCATGCTTGCTTTCTCGTCCGTGGAAAAGCACGGTGTGGGAAGGGCTGGAAGAAGGGGCGGTTAGCAAAAACTAAGGATATTGGATCGTGAATTTTAATATCAGTGGATTCAAGGTCCTGGCCACTGCCTTCGTCTCACATAACAGATCTGTACGGGACGGAACCACCTAGTGGAGCCCATGCAACCATTGTTTGCTGGACGCCAGCAGACTGAGTTTCTTGACTGAATGGTGGGGAATTCATGGCGTGCTGGTCTCTGCATAGGTTAGATATATCGCAACTTAGTTGATATACAGTACATTAAATGAATTCGTAAAAGGCCCTGGACCGTTTCGGCGTGCTTGTGCATGAAAATCTAATATGTAAACAGGAAAAGAGGCGCAGAGCGAGCATTGTTTTGAGCGATGGGTGCACGTGCGTTCCGTGGCGAAGTGAAAGTCCCGGAGCGGGCGCGTCGCTTTGCCAAACCATCGAAAAAGGTTTGCTGGCAACTGGCCAAAAGTGATTAACCTGGTCCGCGCGGCAATGTTCAAGGCTTGAGAAACTAACGAAGAAAGATCTGCTGGTAGTTAGCCAAACCAGAGCCAACCTGGCCTGTGCGACCGTGCCGGAGTATTGTTGGGCCTGTATTACACCATGAACTGGATAGGCCACTAGTTGGTAGGATCAGGGAATACGCGATAAGCGACGATCATGTCATATGACATGAGCATAAAACCATCCACGTAGAATACTCCATTTGCTTTTGTCTGGGATGCTTAAAGCAGCGAGATGAACTCCAAGTAAGCAATGAAGAATGGAAACCGCAAGAGAGCGCTGGCACAACATGGTGTGGTCAAACACGGCAACACCTCATACGACCCTGCAGTTAGACTGGCTTCTGTGCTGGACCCAACGGCCGTCGTTTGCGAACGCCGATTACCGTTACGACCGGCTGTCGGCGGCAGTGCTTACCACGCAGCGACTGTGAAGGACCCCATTCGAAGCGAATACTTGGCCGTCATCACTGTCATGTCAACAAAGCTCAGAGCGTGCTTTCAGTGGGCGGAAATGCTCCAGACGGCTGAAATAGAGAGGCTGCTGATGGATGTGCCTGTCAAACACAACAGCTCAACGATGCTGACTTTGTCTCCGTGGACCGAAAGCCTGGGGTCAAAGATCTTTACTGCGACCTGCGGTCTTCGAAATTTAGGCGCATTAAGAATGGGTGAAAGAAGTTCGCATATACCTTCGCATAATCATTACCGGCGCAGAACTCGCACTTCCAAACATGATCCCCATTATCCAGAGCGAAACCCACGCAGTATTGGTATCAGCAGATGCAAGCGACATTTTTTAACAGCCCCTGCGCCTTTTTTTAGCTTATATGCAATATGGTGGCAACCAAAAGCGTTTTACTTCGCGCCTGTCCACCCAATCAGCGCCCTCAGTCTAAGATGCAACGGGCGGTGTGAGAGACCCACACCAGCGGTGCTCGGCCTCTTACCGTAAACCCACTGTTTCTCTTAGCATCAGGAAGTTTCGGATGAAGCCTTGACATGTGTCGGTCCACCATTCTCCGTTTACTCTGAAGCTACAGCCCAAGTATCCACAAACAACAATCCTCCTAGATCGGCAAGGCTTTTTAACGCTATTACTGGGGACGCCCTCCATGGTAGATCCATGGAAAAGCCGCAAAGCACCTTACAAAACTGACGATTAACTACGTTCTTCCAGAGAGTCAGCTTCCCACGACGTGAAAACCTACAGTAGCCTACAACCTTTCACTGAACCCAGTGCATTACCGCGTGGTTATGCACGACCACCTGTCTCATCCGAGCCCATCTGTCTCAAATGGCACGAAGCTTCAAAACGCTGCGTAGCAAAGTGATCACTTTCGACGCGGGATTCTGTGGCCAGCCACGATGCTTACGACTGGTAATAAGCCTAGTTAGTTGGT